TTTCATGCCGCGCCTATTTTCGCCGCGAACTCCCTTCTAATCTCCCTAGCCTGGCTCCGCGGCTCCAATTCGAAACGATTCCGCGATTCTGATAATCCCGGCTCTGCCTCATTTCGCGCTACAAATTTTTGACCAGCACAGGATGCGGAGGGGACGAACGGACCGCCAACAAAATTTTAAGTGTGCTCTCTCCTACCTCATTTTTACCGCGCGACCATTTTTAATGGACCTTTCCCTGCGTTAATTAAATTTTTGCGGCTGGCTTTCCTGCCGGTCGCTCGAGTGCTTCGAATATTTCGTAGGAGATTCGCGTATGGTCCGGCATGATGAACGTATTGAAAATCGATGGTGAAATTTAGTATCGTATTCGAGGGTGTCAAGTTCGCGGTACATTTCGACGCTTCTAATGTGCGGAAGCTCCTCCTCCCTCGCGCGGACATTAAAATTGCGAGTTATTAATTGGCGCTATGCAATAATAGAGCGCCACTTTTTCTCCGTGAATATGACTCCACGTACGTGTTTTAGTATACTGAACATACGCGTATTCTAATTTTCGGCGTATGCGTTTTGCGTATCTATTTGTTCCGAATATAATGCAATAAAACATGCAATTAACGGGCTACAACGTTCACCGGCGAAGCAGAGGATAATGGGGAATGGGACTCTCGTCGAAATTTTGATTACACGAATACTAGGCACTTTAAAATGATAAAATACAATCTTTAATATAAACATCTCGATGTTTACTTCCAGCAGCTAGACTGTGAAAGAACGGTAAGTCAACAGTTGCAGCTGAAATAATTTCAATCTCTCGCTCATTTCGCTGGTATTGCGTAAACGGAAGAATAAAATTGACTTGATAGTTTAGTAAGAAATTTTTATACGTCGCAAATACGACGAAATAGGGGTTGTCGGCACAACTGACGCTTAAGGCCGCTGCGAAGTTATATTTTCCGGGAGGATGGGCGTCTCTCGCGATAAGAAAACGGCAATAATGTAACGGCGTGACCAAGTGCGGCCTCTTTGACCGCCTTATATCTCGGATCTGTACTGTACTCAGGCTAATTATAATCAGGCTAATGCCTGCCGAGCTGGTATGTGTCGGTACCCACCACCTCCTACGCTTTATACCTGGCGGCAATGTAGCCACGTTACTTATCCTCGGCCAAAGGGAGGGTAATTAAGATTCGGACACACCCATCGTGACTGTCGTCTCTTGGGTTCTGACCGTTTCTCTGCGTAGGGAGTGGCCGATCCCTTGGAAAGCTCGTTTTCGTTTGCATACACGGAATGGGATCGCACACCGGCAACGTCTTCCACATTGCTCTTGTCCTATTTTTCAATTCGCGCAACGAACAGTCGGAATCACGTCCGGTAACCGTTATCGACCGGACCAAGGAACTGGAGGATTTATCTGCTCGATCGAGATCTCTCTGATCAGCTAACTGTGTTCTTGGACGTTACACAGCCACGTCTTGTCAGCGACTATACTCGCGAACGTTAAATGCAAATTTTCGGGTGGCATTGTTATATTCCTTTGGAAATGATACGATGATTCGGACGAACGACGAACATGCATTTATTAATAGACAGCGGATTTTTGCGAATATAGATTTTCCGTGCTATAATTCACAGGAACTGGAGTCAGAAGGAAGTTCGTATACACTAGTTCGTATTGAAGATTCCATTAGAGTTTGAATGAGATAAAGAGCTTACCAGGTTTTTCAGTACACAGAATTTGAAAAACTTGTGATTATGCAATATGTCCGTGAAATCTGTAGATTATGTATTACAAGGCTGTGTACTTTTATGCGAATATTCACTTTTATACTATCATTCAAAGAAACGGGGACCGAAAGGAAATTTCGCACTCTATTGGAGATTCTATCGAGCTCCAAGTGGAATTAAAGGTCTAGTATGTTTTATAAAATTCTGAAGAATGCCGGATTTTAGAAAATTATGTGTGTAATAAGTGCATAGACTTTGCGAGTTAAATTAACACACTGGGCATCTTTATCCTTATTCAAATTTTTATATACAAATTTAAGAGAATAGAAAACATTTTAAGATAATAAGATAATATTATTAAAGTATTCCGATGTTATGAATATTTTGTGATATATAACGAAGTATACTATAAACGCATAAAGTCTGCTGTCAACTTATAAATAAGAAGACGATGACTGTTTCCATGGCTT